GGCGACGTTTCAGTTAATGACAGACGCCATGTACAGTGATGGCCCAGCAAGAGCACCATGGAGCTGAATAATTCCTCTTACCTAGTGACGCCGTAGCCATGGTAACGTCACAATGTCTGTCACAGCACAACGTATTTGCTCATGTGTGGTTGTGATGCTGGTGTAAACAAACCTACTGTGCTGCCAGTTCTACAAAAGCATGACACGTACGATCATCTACGGTCCATAATACTTGATAATGACAATAAATGACTATGTTACTGCCTTATGTGTTTACTATGATATAGTACTTATTGTCAGAGTGTACTCTCTCTACTTACACAAACGTTTTGCGTAAAGCAGTATGCCCTGTGACGCCAGCAGCCACCTTGCATGTCTGCTGTTCACCGAGGCTCTTGACCGCGTCATTGCCTCTTGCGCTCGATTCACTCTCGTGTTGTTCTGTGCAGCGATGTGCTGCGCAGGCGCGTAGGCTCGGGGCAGTGGGCCGGACTGCAGATCCTCCGTGCGTAGCAGGCTACGGCGTCTCGGTTTGTGCGTGTGCGCTCTGTGTTGTTCACAGGACACATTGCTCAGAACGTGCGCCCAGTGTAACGGTCCTGGAAGTGTAAACTGTGTGTAGAGCTCTTTCTCTCCACCCCCGTGCTCTCCTTCCCACGAGCCCTCACCTTCGCCGCACTGTCTTCTGCCAGACTGTTCTTTTTCTCCCCCGACAGCACGTGAGCTCCGTGAGACCAGTTTTGTTCACTGCTGTGTCCACGGTGCCCAGAGCAGAGCCTGGCACACGGCAGAAGCCAGCTTTTGAAAAAAAGACCTAGTGAATAACTAGAAAAACCCTACCAGCAGCCCTACCGTTGTGTCACTGTATTTGAATTATAACCAGTCTCTAATTTTTAAGACGTGCACTTACTCTTTGGCTGTGTTGTTGCCCTTCCTCTGTGGAATTGATAGCAACGTCTCCTGAAATTTCTTCGTGATGATGTGCATTGTCTTCCTGTTTAATAATTTAAAGTTGTATAATGCCAATGTTTCCTCCATCGTCAGCCTCTGAAAAGTATTCTGCCAGACAAGATTGGCCAGTCAGCAGCATTTGCTGAGAGGTTGCCATTGTGTGGGGAGACTGAACAGGACTCTTTTCTGGGGTCACCAAAGAAGGCAATGTCATTCTTGTCCTGTGGAGCTCACCGTGTCCTGGACAGTCAGCTCCCGCATATGAAAAAAACCTCAGGGTTATCAACAACGCACAAATAGAAACAATGAAAATGTACTACATATGTGCTGGTTAGATGAGACACAATGGCTGCTGGCCATTCAAACTGGAATGATTCCTAGGAGCTGAGTGGGAAGCTGGGACTTAAAGATCTATGAGGATAAGGTGGGAAAGAAGGGGACTTGCAAAAGGAAATGACAACTACGTGAGCATGACTTCACTGGGTACCTGACCTCTAAACTACACTCCGAATCTGGCCTGTAGCCTTCCTCTCCTAGTTACTGTATTCTGTGCTTTCCCTTTAATAGTTCACATTCTATTTTGAATTCAAATGGCTCTGTACCTTCAATGACAGGGTGGAGTCACTTCATAGACTCCTTCCAACTCATCTTCGGGTCTCAGCTGAAATGCCGTTTTTGCAAAGAGGCTTTTTCCAGTTACTTAATCTGAAATGAGTGTGCCTTATTGTTCTCTAGCTTGGTATTTCTTTCATAGCTTTTACCATTTTAACCATAAATTTGTGACTTGATCATCTGTCTTCCTTGCTAGATTATTAACATCCTAGAAGCAGGATGCTTGTATTTTTTTTTCATCACTGTATACAGATTACTTAGCACAGTGCTTATATATTTGTAGAAATGGAATGAAATAGTGCATACTTCCACAAAGCCCAGAAATCCATATGCAAAACTGATTGTAATACCGAAAATAATTTTATTTTAAACATTTACCAAACTTAAGTTGGGCTAATTTCTGATACATAGAGATGTGTATCAACATAACTGTAAGTACATACCCATATAAATATATACATACATAATTCATATACATGGTAATATTTGGAGCTTTACCAATTCAATTTCAACAATGTCAAATATTTCCTCTCTTTTTCCCCGCCCCTTCATCATCTCTTACATTAAACCTAAATTGTTCATGAGAATCTTTCTTCCATCTGAGGTGAGGAATACAATCCTGGATAGGACTGGTGCATGGGGGTGGGATGGGCCCTGCTGCTCCTAGCCCACTCAGGGGGCCGTGGTGCCGACCGGAAGAAGCCACGCTGTCTGCAGTAGATGCAGCCATGCGCCAATGCACTGTGCTTGGTGAGTGGAGCTCAAGCAAGCCTTCACTCCCACCTGCTGCCTCAGCCACGTGCCCTGGTTCAGGACACTGCCCATGTGTAGGCGGCTGCCCCGGATGGGGTTCCTCTGTGCTGGTGCGAGCGGGACATGGGGACCTGGCCACCCTTGTGCAGCCCCATTCCTTGCTTTAAAAAAAGACCGATATGTCTGGATGAGTATGGTCGGGTGGGGTCCCTTCTTCTGAAGAGGGAGTCGTCCCTGACAAAGAAGACCACTTTCCCATGCTCGGTGTGTGCGTAGTGTGTGGCCACCTCCAAGGGAGCTTTCAAGGTTTAATCTTAGGGAATAACCGAATGTTCATTCTTGATTCCTAGAAACTGATGCTGCCAACCTGGCTGTGGTTGAGCTTTGTAATTTCCCTCTGCAAAAGGTAAAAATAAAAAAATCAGAAGTTAGTTCCCATGTTAGCACGGCTTAGTGACCATCTGGAGGTCCTATCAGTGGCACTGAGAATAGGCTCAGCTGTCTCATCAGTGACCCAATTTACTGACTGCCACGACTGTCTCGTTTCTGTGATCCTTTATAAACTCTCTGTATCTTGAAACTTAGGGTCATAAGTTATAACAGCTGCCTGTTTTATAACCACCAGTAATTTACCTGTAAGTGACCTTAGCCTCGAAGTACAACCATAAGGAAGGCCTGTTTTGAACCAATGAAGATGAATTCATCCTTTGGAGCAAGAGCTCAAATGACTAAGACATAATTTTGGAAAGATTTTTATTTTGGAAAAAAGAACATAACACTGGTATTGGGGTATAGAGCCTTGGATAGGCAAATACCACCTAGGCTGGGTCCCTGGGTTCTAGTTTTTAAGCAACCCGATTAGGTGACATGGTGTGATTCAGTCTTGATGGGGTTCATCTCCAGATCTGTTTATTAAATGGGAGTTTCTCCTCTTAAAAATCTGCATAACTCTATGCTATGTTTTATAAGTCCTCGAAACAGGAAAAATGTCAGAGCCGTCTGTGGATCAGAAGAAGCTTTTGGGATCCCATGTACACAGGACACACGTGTATACACAGCAGCCCCTGGGAGAAACGGTAAGTGTTTTTTTATAGGGGGCCCTGAACTGAGGTCAGTACTGGGCTGAATATTCCAGGAGATTTTTTCACTTATTCTAAATTGGTCATCTTTTGGAGGGTGGGGTGGGGGGCATGTAGCTCCACTAGTAAATCCAGGCCCAGGAAGTGAAAGGGGCAGAAGCCTCATCTAGCCACCGGGCCCACTTTAACAGTGAGTATAGTTCAATCAGCTACGCATCTCCACCACCACCACCTTTCACATTAGTTTGGAGAAATTAATGGCCAGCAGTGAAGCAAATCCAAATACGGCCAACGTTTCCTCCATTGCCAAAATGGGAAAACCTCCTTATCTCCTCTTCAAAATCCATCTACCGGAAACGTCATCTCCCCTGGGAAACACTGGAGTGGCACTAGGCACGCCTTGTGCTCAGTCCCTGTGATGCCCGACTTGTGCGGATCTCGAAAACGTCCAGTCACCACGCTTGATAACTTGCAGATCTTTTTAGAAACTCTTTCTTTAGGCAGACTGTGTTTAACTGGTGCGGGGGGGAGGGGGAGTTTAATTTATTTAGGTACATGGGAGACATAGAGCATCCCGCTTCTGGACCTCAGCAAACCTGCCACGAATTCTTCCTCCAGAACTAACGCCTCCGTATTCAAACCCCCAGGGAACTCTCCTCGGGAATTTTTTTTTTTTTCCATTGTAAATGAAGCTGATTCACAGCCAGCTTCTTCGCCTCTCCTCCACTTGGGGCAGGGGAAGCCTGCGTTCCAGGGGAGCGCCAGCGGGGCCTGGCAGAGCTCCAGGGCACAGGTGGGGGGCCCCCGCAAGGGGCGTCAGGGGCCAGACCGCCCAGGTGGGCGCAGTCCCTCCCGCAGTCAGACTCCGCCGCGCACCCCGTCCGCGCCGTTTCCGTAGCGCGCAGGACCTTAGGCAAGGATGGGCATCCTTCTCCGAAGTCTTCAAACCGTCTCCACCTACTCAGCGGCTCGCAGCATCGGGGTTGCACCCGCCACTAAATCAGACCCCAAGGAAGATCTTTATGGACTACAGCTTCACACTGAAACTCACCAGGGCACTGGGGAGTCCGTGCGGGCCAGCAGCGGGGAAGGGGACGGAGAGCTCCCTCCAGCCACCTCCAGCGGTCTCAGCTCATCCTCCCCCGGGGTGAGGGGCGGGCCGGGGCCCGGACGGGGAGGCCGAGGAGGGGGCCCCTCCCTCCTCACCTCCCGCGGCCCACTCCTACTCACTTTCTCTCGGAGACTCAGCTCCGCCGCCTATTTAGCCCGGGGTCGCGCGGAGGGGCTGCGGCCAGGAGAAAGGAGCCGGTGGGGACTCTCGGGACCTCGACCTAACCCCTGGCCGACCAGCGGGAGGACCAGGGCGGTGGACGCCCCCACCTGGGCATCCGGGCAAGGCGGGCCCCTTGGGTTCCGCGTCCCGGAGGCTGGCTCCGAGAGATCGGCCGGGCCCCCACCTCCGCCCGCCGCCGCGGCCCTCCACCCCTCCCAGCGCATCCCGGAGGTCGCTGGGCCCCGGGGACGCGCTCGCGCCCGGGCCGCCCCGTCCCCTCCCCCCAGTCCGGGCGGGGGCGCGCGAGAAGCGGTGACGTCAAGGGGCGCGCGGTGGCAGCACCTCCCCGCGCGCTAGTTAAAAAGAAGAAGAAAAGAGGGAACGAAACATGAGAGGCTGTGTGAGAAGCTGCAGCCGCCGGCAGAGGAGACCTCAGCATCATCTAGAGCCCAGCGCCGGCCCTGCGTTCGCCTGCCCCGCCGCCGCCGGTTCTGTTCCAGCTACTGTCTCACCTAAACAACTCCCGTTACACGGACAAGTGAACCTCCGCGGCCGGCTCCTCTTCTTCCTCCTCTTCCAACTGCCCCTCCGCCCACTGCCCAGCTGCAGCAGAAAGCCCCTAACCCCACTGACACTGGCACAGCTGTACACGGTGTCATCCGCACAACTTTCTCTCGCTCCTCGGGCTCCCCCAAGGCACTGGACCCTCGTCTTTTATTTTTGGCCAAGTTGCATCGTCCCCACCACCTCCTTCTGCCTCGCAAGTGTCCCGCCGCCCTGCAGCCTCCTCCCGGCGCTGCGCCCTAGTGCCCCTGCTGGGCAGTGGCGTTCCCCCCCTCTCGCCCGCGCCCACCCCCGGCCGCTCCGGGCAGACGATGCTGAAGATGCTCTCATTTAAGCTGCTGCTGCTGGCCGTGGCTCTGGGCTTCTTCGAAGGAGATGCTAAGTTTGGGGAAAGGAACGAAGGGAGCGGAGCGAGGAGGAGAAGGTGCCTGAATGGGAACCCCCCGAAGCGCCTGAAAAGGAGAGATAGGCGGATGATGTCCCAGCTGGAGCTGCTCAGCGGGGGAGAGATGCTATGCGGCGGCTTCTACCCTCGGCTGTCCTGCTGCCTGCGGAGTGACAGCGCTGGGCTGGGGCGCCTGGATCACAAGGTAGGCACGCACCCGCCTCGCCGCCGCGAGACTGGCATGCTGGCCGGGCGGGGTTCCCTGCGGCTCCGGCGACGCTGGTGGCCGGGAGAAGGGCGACACTTGTTTGGGAAGTTCTTTCTGATAACTTTTTTATAGCTCTGGCGTGGTTCCGGTGTGCGTTCCTCCGGGGTGCGCAGACACCTCGCCCACCCCCAAGAGTCCGCGGTCGGGATGCTGTGCAAAACTGTCTCAGAAAAGCTTCTGTGGTACCCGCGTTCGGGGCTGGGCAAATATTTTAAAAGAATCGCGATGAACAGTGTGTGTTGGATCGAGTCGGGCATGGGCTGCAGGGAAACTGTAAATTAGGGTGGCTGTGGTTTCCGGTTTATTTTTCTAGAGTGAAAAGATTCGTGCATCTTTCTCCACGTGCTCGGTTAGGGAGAGGGCTGAATCGTCAAGGATGTTGAAGCATGGTTGGTTTATGATCCCCAGCCCCGTCAGAGGGGGTTGTCTAACGTTGCAATCGTTAAACAGCGAGAAGGGAACTCCTGGGACTCTCGTTGAGAACCCGAAACACTGGCGAGAGATTTTGCTGGGGCGTATTGACCACAGAAAACCAAGACAATCCTCCGTCTCTGTTTGGAACGTTTGGTGGTACCATCAATTCCGGCTTTCAGTGGTATTTCGTTGTCTGGGAAGATCTCCCCTGGAAACGTGTTTCAGGACGAAGAGCACTGACGTTTTCCTCGTGTCGATAAGTTTAAACAAGTATGAAAAGGGTGTTGGCGGAGTGAAAAGGCAGGCTTGTTTTGGAGTTTGCAACATCCCCCGTGCCATGATGGGATGCAGTGATGTGTGCTGTCTACTGTGTACTCCTAAGAAAGGCTGGGGGGGCGCGTCATTAACAATCGCTGCACGTGAAATAAACAATCAGGTGTCTTTGCTCCCCCCTCCCTTTCCCCACTTTAGGTTTCATTAAGAATGCCTCCGTTACAACACTGCAGTTGTGAAGGGCTGAGAGACTCTTGGAAAACCTGTGCTTCAGTCTTGCTGGCCCAGGCATAATAAAAAAAAAAGAAAAAGAAAAATACCCAGGCTGAATCTAATTTTTATGCTCAGTTCACGGTAGATTTCACTCTATTCTCATGTAAACAGCTCCTACGAATCAACATATGTGTCTGGGTGGTATCTCTCACTTTGTTTTGTAACAAAAAGCCATATTGCATCATTTAATTTGCTCAAGTCATGCAAATAGGAAAAAATCAATAGGACAAAAAGGGGTCGACTTATCCTCCTCCCCACTAAACTGCTGCCCACACACAGCGTCCTGTTGCTTATGGCAAAAGAATAACAACAACACCATTGTGTTTGTTAGTTGGTTCACTAATGGGTGAAACTAGAGAACATCATTCTCTTTCAGTCCCCAGCTCTGTCCAAATGTTCATGCCTTTTGAGGGAGCATTTGTCCAACGCGCTCTATTCCCAGATGAGTGCGAACTGTCTTGCTGCAGGTTTTCAGCTGCAGCTCACTCTTTATTCTTACCATATGCAGCAGGAGCCTGAGATTCGGGGACAGATATTCCAGCGTTTTATTCAAAACAATGTCATTAAGCTCCTGTGTTGTAATTGAATTAAGTTACAGAATAGCTACATTCACATCATCTGCAGGGCTTTGCCAGGATCCCAAAAGAGGCAGAGATGCAGAGGAAGGTTTAGAAATTTTTCCCATTAAGTCTCCCTGTGTGCAGCGTGTACTGTGGGTACACCCAAGATCTCCAGCCCCCTGCCGTACTGAACAGGAGCGTGAGGAATGAAAACTTTGTTCTGAACTAAATGTAGTGAAGGTTGGGGGAGGGGGAGAGGGGGGACAGAGGGTGATGGGAGTTATAATCCTTAAGAGAAGTCACGTCAAATTTTTTTTTTAAAGACATCATTCTTTAGGAAGCAATCTGCCATGTTAGCTATCCACATTCCTTTCCGTTTTACATCCTTCCAATCTCCAACAAACCCCTACTCATTTGGGAAGTGTGTCTGAATTAAATTTGGTGCACTGGATTTTGCTGGCTTCACTACAAATGGTTTGCAAACCAACAATACTCAAATTGTTCAAATCAGAGACTTGACATAGCTGTGCCTGTGCATTCTTGACCTACCTTAGCTCTCAGGTTGTAATAGTTTCTAAAACATGTTATTTTATAATAAACCTCACCGTTTCCCTTCTTTCCCTAAGCCTTCTTGGTTTATAATATATGTGAGGGTCTTATTTCATATGTGCGCACAGAAGAGATGATGGCTATTTGAAAGGGCTCTTTTTTGTTTATGAAAAAAAATTTTTCCCCCCAGAAATATTTCTGCAACGTTTCAAGAAATGACAGGAGCAGCCTTTTCCTATTGGGGGAAAAAAAACTTCATAGACAAATAGATAGTAGCAAACTGGGTAGGAGTATTGAGCAGGCTCCACTGTGCCATTAAATCCAGTTTCCAGGCTGACACATTTTCTTTCATGTGATGAACTAGCTTCGAGTTCAGTTCTTTAGCCCCAAAGTATTATGCTTTTATATTTTAAATTTTTTTTGTACATTTTAATAGTTTTATGTATTGTAATGAGATGGCTAACAACCATTATAAATAATGATTGCCAACATTTAGGAAGTTATATTGTCTTAATATTTTTGTAGCTCCCAAGTACAGCATGCTAAAAGGATCTAATTCCCATTAGCCAAACTGAATCTGCAACTAGCAGAAATACCCCCATTTCTAAAACTTAGACTGTAGCCACAGAAGCATAGAAGATCTCGCTACCTTGGGTGGTTTCACAGCCAAAGCTGTCAAGGAATGGGTGAAAAGTAATTGTTTTCAAGTGTGCCCTTTTACAATCATTTGTTTGCTCTGGCTCTTTCAGGGACAAAGGCTATTGTTGAACACATCCAACTAAACAAATAACTCATCCTGGGGTCCCTTTAACAGCTGCCTTGGTACAATGATCTATTTACATATTAGCCTAAAATTGAAACTGAACTCTTTAATGACATAATCCAGCACTATAGTCCAGAGACCCATGGGTTCTACCCCACAGCTGAAGAACCGTGTAGTCATATGATTTTTAGAAATAACGTTTTATGTACCAAGTGATCTTAAGGTGACATCTTAATATACTGTCATGCATTTTCTCCTTTTGTCCACTCCTCAGGCCCATGTGGGGGCCTTTTTATTCTCTTTGTTCAGTTGCTTGATTAGATAAAGAGAAATACAGAAGGTCTCTGTCACCCATTTTACTATTTGTTGATAAGCTCTAGTTGTAGGCCACGCTTCACTGTGTATTCCAGGATTTATCTTACCTTTTTTCTATGGATTTTACTTTTCATGTGGCTAAAGATTAAAGGATGACCTGCCAGATGTTATAAATTAGTTAGCAACAGCCACAATCATTACTAGGCATGCTGTAATAATGTTTCGAAGTTTTACATGATTTCCAAAGTATATTTAGTTTAAACCACTATAATTTGATGGTTTTGTATATGGCTTTTAAAAATCGAAACAGGAAATTAGCTTAAATTTCTTCTTAAGATTGATGACATTGTCAGGCATAAAGTTAAGGACCTATATAGGCACAGACACATTGGCCCAAAAGAAAAAAAAAATACCCTAGACACACACAGCAGTACACATCTGTCCAAAACAGTGTTGCAGCTTGGGCTGAGTCGGTTTAATTGACTTCAGTAAGACTATTGGTTCATTGAAACCAAAGCCAGAATGATGGCTCTATCTATCTTCAAATGGGTATTTACACTGCAGACCTCACACAGAGCAAAATGTTACCATCCTGCTGAGCCGGAACAGCATGCAGCTTTACAAAGAATAATATCATACTTGATTTCAGATAATTTATTGAATCCTATTCCTGAAACTTTTGATGAGAGATCTTGTGGCCAGGACACATTCCAAAAATTGTCAAAGACAAAATTCTTTAGGCACTAAAATCAAGCTCTTCCTGGAGAGCAGCTGGGAGCGTACATGGGGATCGTGTGGGCTCAGCTATTAAAGAAATGGAAGCAAGCGTCTTCCCCATAAAACCAAAGGTGATGGCACTGCAGCTTTTCAGCCGGCCTGAGAGGTGGTTTCAGCACCCTGCGGTGGTTTTGTTCTCAGAGGGCTGCTGTGTGATAAACAAACAGAACAAAGTCCAACAGTATTAATATTGAAAGATCTGGTGAGGCTGCCAGGGTATGGACAATAAGAGACATTTAAAACATTCTTGGAATGCAAATTCTAAGTGCCTGGTGTATGTTTCCTTTTAGGAAACTTGAACCATTTAAGCAATTGTCATTCAAGCAAATTGATAAAAAATTAATATGTAAGTATAGTTGTCATTAAAAATGACTTCTGAATGTTGTAGATCGTTACTACATATTGTATTTTTTCCTGAAATTGGGTTACTTCTAATGAATTTTTAATTAATGCATACTAAAATTTCAGCATGCTTGTATTCGACTATTTTTTTAGTTGCTTTGCTCTCTCAGACCCAAATTTTGTGGCCACCTAGAATATCTTCATTCCAAAAAAATAGAAGCCATACAATGTACTCAAATTAGAATCTCAATTTGTGGATGAAATGTTTGCTTTAAGAGATTCAAATATTAATTTCAGTTTACAGTTCTAAAGAAATGATAAAGTATAACTATCATTACAAAAGTTGGGAAAAGGTATAAAATGCAATCCCATTATGGTGTTTATTAATATGAAAAATCAGTTATTGGCTTAGACAAGCACCATATTCACGTCTCAGATATTGTGCTTGCCCTGGCTGGGATGGCTCTGTGGATGGAGTACTGGCCTGAGAATCAAATATTGTGCTGATATTATTCCTTTTTATTTATTCCAGGGACTTCTGGAGTCAGCTTTTTAAAGTTAGTAGTAGACATGGAGACCTAACCTCACTGAGTCGATGGCTCCCCAAGTGGTCTTATTGAAATAAAAGACATAAACTGTATAAATAAAGATAAAAGTATGCCTTTTCCCATTAGAACTCACTCAATAACTATACAAAAGTACTTTTATTAGACTCTTGTGTTTACTTTTGCATATAACATACCTGAGGAGCTAGTTAGAAGGTTTTTCCTGGCTAAGGTACAATGAATAATGAAAATTGCTCTTGAACCTGTTTGATTCAGCTTCAGGTATCATTTTTATAAAACATGAAAGAGAAAGACTTTCCCCCACTTTAGAAAACTTTCCCTATGTAATCTGTAGATTGAAAATGAATTGAAATTAGAAAAATGTAATTCAAGTTCACACCTTTGAGACTATCATATTAGGAATTCCAGGAGTGAAATAGATTTTTACCTAAGACACAAATAAACCATGGTTTAAAAAAAATTCTGCTTTATATACTGTTGGATAAAGGTATTTTGGAATCTTAAAGCTAAGTATCAATCAGTATGCAGTTTGAGGCAGAGTCAAGTGGTAAAGGATTCGAGGGTCTACATAAAATTGTCATTTATTTTTTTGCATCCGAAAGACAGACAAACCACTTTGATTTGCGAGAGTAAGACGACTTTTGTCCATTCCTACTCTGGGCCCTTGTATCCCATACATGGGAGTACTTACATCCTTATAAAGGCATTCTCTATTGTCACGTGGTAATTCTTCTCAGACTACTGCATTGGCCAAAGTATACTCTTCTACTTACACGATTACAAAAAAGAAGTAACTAAACCTAACTTCACGTCACTAAAAAGTTTATTTCTGATTTCCGGCTTTCAGATATTTTCAGTGACCAACAACACTGAGTGTGGGAAGTTGCTGGAAGAAATCAAATGCGCGCTCTGCTCTCCGAATTCTCAGGGCCTGTTCCACTCGCCCGAGAGGGAAGCCATGGACAGAGACCCCGCGCTTCCCCTGCTCTGCAAAGACTATTGCAAAGAATTCTTCTACACTTGCCGAGGCCACATTCCAGGTAAAGAGATGCATAAATCCAATAAACCGCTCCCAGGACACCTGTTCTGAAATGCTTGCATACAGGAGTGGAATGTGAATGTCATCTTCCAAAATACCTATTCTTCCCTCGCCATTAACCTTTTCAAATGCGTGCCCTTTCATTGCTGCCAATGGGCATGACTGTCGTCTCAGTCCGTAAGCAGTATGTTGGCTCTGTTGGGGACGTAGTGATACAGTTGGCGATCTTCACACACATCATGGTATGCATTGGATCACCAGCACATTCCTGGTTGGTGTCTTTACCCATCCAACGTCGGGATCCAGACGGCCTCCTCTTGTACATGGCTGACACATCCGTGCAGACTGCCCACTGACTCTGAAAGTATTTCCTTAAATAAAATACAACTCAAAATCAAAAAAAAAAGCAATGCCTTACAGAGCACTTTCACATATAAGGACTAACTTGCTCCTCAGAACCCCTGGGAGGTGGGATGGGTAGAGTCATCTCCCCTTGACAGATGAGGACAACTGAGCCTCAGGAGACCCCCGGGGCCTTAACCGAAGCGGTACAGTGAGAAAGTGATAGAGCGCGTGTGCAAGTGCTTGCACGCACAGTGTTCCAAATATACCTGCTCACCATCATGGGCTGGGCCCTGATAAACATATAGAGTCTTGGGTGTTGATTAATTTTACCATCAAAAGTTTGTAAACTTTGGTTGTTGGTTTAGTTGGAAGAATCAACATAGAGGTAGAGAAGAATTTAACGAGACAGATTCTGTTTAGTTAGGCAAAGCCACACACAAACAAATCTACTGAAGCTAACAGTTTATGAAGCTAAATGGCACTGGAGGAAAAGACAAGCTTCAAGAACTCTGGGATGCCCTGGGAGAATTTTTTTTTGAACTGCTATGCACATTTCCCTTTTTTCTCTGACCCAGAAAAGTGTAGATTTCTTTGGTATTTTTTTTATAGAGCTCCCCTAATAAGCTAGGAAAACATTTTGACTAGGTGGCCTGCTTCCTTTGCTGTGCCATAACATATATGTAAACGCATTCCATGTGAAAATATTATTATTGTCTTTATAAACTACAGCCATGTTCCCAAGGCTTTTCTGAAGCCAGCTGTTTCTTCCTCTTTATCACATTCCCCGAAGCAAAGGGGAACAGGTCACGGTTGCCTAGATGGCTTGTCGAGAAGCGATAACAGATTAGGTCCCATAAAGGTCCGCTGCACATTTCAAGCCTGGAAGGTTTGCCTTTACCACCCTAGGTTGAAAGCGATATCGACACTTAGCATTTTCGTCTACCTCTCTCCCCTCGAGATAAAGAAAACCGTGCTGGATTTAGGAACTCATCCGCGGGGGTCTTCCTGTATCTGAAGTTATTTTAGCTTCCAAAACAAACACCAGAAAGCGATATCCACTGTGGGAGAGAGCACAGCGGACAGCTCAGGAGCCAGAACAGCAAGCACCTCACTCCCCAGATCAACAGATGTGGTGACGAATGACAAATTTATTTTTCTACAAAGTTTGTATATATGTAAAACTGCTGAAGTGCATCAAGATGTCAAGTGCTTTCGGTGGCCACCCAGGCTGCCTTGAAAGATAACCAGATGAAAGCTCCGCTCCAGCGGTGGACGGAGCCGCCGGGGCGCTGTCCCGGGCCAGGCCAGCAGGCTTCGACAGCTAGCAGAGGGGCTCCCCCTGAGTCCGTCAAATGCTGATAATTGCTCTAAATGCGTGTCCACAGAGGGAGCGGGAATAATGCTCTCTTTGCGTTGCTTATGTTGATCCATTTGTTAGCCAGATCCTTGGCATGTAGGTTGCTGCTTCCTAAAGTGTGATGAATAAGAGGGTGATCCTGCCCTTAGCCCTGGCCCTAACCCAGGAGGCTCTTGAGGATTCTAGAACACAGATTTTTCCAGAAATTGCTCAAAAGGCGAGTTCTTCAGTTCGTTTCATGACGCTGTTTACTTTTGTCTTAAATTCAAAATGGCAAAAAAAAAAAACCTTGCTTTGTGATTCTTTTTTTTACAAGAAACTAGTCAACATATTTTGACCATCCTCCTTAATACCTTCCCCTTTCTGAGCATCAAAAGCGTGATGAGGAAGGCACCTGAGGGGTGTGTTTGGCTGAGGGAATTGCTGAAAGGGGTTGGAGATACTTCCAGAGACGCCTTCGTGTCTCCCTCGCCCCATCCATGCAGAAACACGTCCCTAAATGATCTGTCCCTTTGCTCCGCCTTCTGGGCTTTAAGAACACACTGAACCCTTCAGAACACATGTACCCCTGAGAGAAAGCTACTTTCTAGAAACTTTCATTCTGAAATATTCATGGTCTGCTTATTTTCCCAAAAACGAGAAAGGAAGTTAAGGTAAAACTCACTGTAGTGAGGATACACTCGAGTTTCATTAACCAGATTCTCCCCTTGTGAATTTACTTCAGGAGGTAAATTCTTAAAACTCGAAAAAGACTGAAATTACAGTAAAAGGAAAACACCCACACCCACGCAGGAGCTCCTTTCTGACACCACAGTGCTCCGCTGCTGCCCGAATTATGACGAACAGAGTGGACGCTCTGCCGCCCGCTGAAGGATGGCACGCTGCACTCTGCAAAGCCTTGCTTCCCTGCTTACACCTGTCGTCCAAATGATTTTTATCACCCTTAGAGCATCGTCTGTAGGTGGTTGTAGTGTGACATGTCTGCACCCAATTAGTTCAATTGGTTTAATCCCATTGCTAATGAGGCCAAGGTCAAGGACTTGATTCTACTGAGTTTCTCTAGTCCACAGCCACTCCTGACCCCCGTCAGATCTCTTACACATGTGTCTTATTAGGTCCCAGGACAGCAAACCAGAGGGAACGGATGGACATATCGAATCCACCATCCCTGTTAGAAAAGTGCTCTGGAGTGCAGGTCTCACTGACAGTGGGTGGCAGGGTAGTTCCCAGTTTTTCTTTATCATGATGACCACCACATGTAAGGAGGAAGAATAACTTTTCTCTAGCATACATGCTGAGAGAAAAGCTAGAGCTTAAAATTTTTCACAGAGAGTATTTGTTTACACGACAGTGTTTTACAAGGTGCTTCGTGGTATTGTAGGATGGGGTTTGGGTCCAGGAGAAGAGTTCCAGGTGCAAGACAGTTGATACGTTATCAGGAGTTTAAACAACAAATACAGTTACTGGAACAATCAGTGAACTTCCGTCATTAGCAGACTTGATCTTATTATGGTGGTCTGAGGGGAGCTAAACACTCACTTCGAGAGAGATGCTCTTCAGTGTAGTCTCCCAAACAGAAGGGTACCATTTGGTGAACCGCATCTTCCCTGGCACTAACTGGTGGCCCAACATCCTGAACGGGATCCCTTTTAGCTTTTCCCAGAAAAATCCACTGCATTTATTGGTTGTAAGAAAAACTCCCATATTATATGTAAAAGTCTTCTGATTGGCTCCCTCTTTCACACTTAGATGATTCACTGTGTCTAGATTCTGTAAAAAGCTTGGAGTAATTCCTTGCCAACCTTCTGTGTTTTGTTTTTAATATGCTAAGCGAGCATGGTACCTCTGGAGCTCCAGAGTGTATGCATTGGCACCATTCATCTTCTGATTTCTCATTTCCTCATGTTTGTCCCCAGCTGTTAATTCCTTAGAAAGTGGAATCAGCCACCCGCACTGTTCCTTCATTTCCCCTTAAGATGGTATTGGTTTGCAGACTCTAAGGCTGGAATGCAGATTTTTTTAAAAAAAAAGGCAAATCCGAAATTTCTTCAGAATTATGCTTCGAAACTTTTCTGTGGCCCAAAATTTCTCCTTCACACAATCAGTTATAAATATATCCATAGTCTGACACTCTTCCTAAATGTATGGAGATGGGTATGGGGGTCTTGCTTGTTTGAGGGTGCATATACATCTGTATAAAATACGTACATTATATAAATCTGTATTTTATATATGATATAAATTATATAGATATATAAGTAGAGATATTATATGATATGTGTTTATATATCCAAACATAGAAAGATCTAGCCCAAAACTATTCAAAAGTTTGATGTAGCAACTCAGTTTTTCTTCTCTTCTTTCTAACCCAAGGAGACTTGTTGAACGATACTAGGCAGCTTTCCTCTGCGTGCTTAGCCATTAAAGACTCGAGGAGAAAATTGACCTTTTTTTTAAAGATTTTATTTATTTATTTTTTAGAGAGGGAAGGGAGGGAGAAAGAGAGAGAGAGAGAAACATCAATGTGCGGTTGCTCGAGGCCATGGCCTACAACCCAGGCATGTACTCTGACCGGGAATCAAACCTGCAACTCTTTGGTTCAAAGCCCGAGCTCAATCCACTGAGCTACACCAGCCAGGGCGAAAAAATTGACCTTTTCAAACAGTGAATTACTGCAGATGAGTAAATGTGGCTGCCGCTGTCATTCCTCTTCTCGATTTCTAATCCCTGATTTTTTTTTTTTTCAAAGAAAGATCACCTCCTTCCAGCTGTCTTGTCCCTTCCAGGGAGCACCCTTCCCAGCTGCCTTGCCTCCTTTTTTGGGCCCCCCCAAGGAAGATGTTTCTCAATAGCCTCATCAGATATTGGCCTTGCAGAGTCTGTCTCAGAAATTTAGGGGTGAGACATTTTACCCAAAAGTTAGGTCAAAAATCTATACCAAGTATTAACCATTTGGGATCCTCGGTTCCCAAGACTAGTTGATTTGAGGGGACTTAGGTTAAGCTCACAGAAAATAAACTTGCATGCCTAAGAGGTTCCATCAATAAGCCTCACTTGGTTGCCCTCCAATGCTTGTTCTTAGAAATCCATGCAGCCCTGGCTGGTGTAGCTCAGTGGATTGAGCGTGGGCTGTGAACCAAAGGGTTGCTGGTTCGATTCCCAGTCGGGGCACATGCCTGGGTTGCGGGCCAGGTCCCCAGTGGGGGCCATGTGAGAAGCAACCACACATTGATGTTTCTCTCTCTCTTTCTCCCTCCCTTCCCCTCTCTCTAAAAATAAATAAATGAATAAAATCTTTAAAAAAAAAAGAAATCCATGCAAACGGGAATGTGTTACACAGCTTCTGAACTTCCACTGAGTTCCTTTATCACAGTCTTGATGCGGGTATGATCATTTGATATGTTGGGCAAAAATCAAGATGTGAAACATAATTAAAGGTATGAGACCAAAAGCAGGGATTTAGGACTTCATGTAAAGTCAACTCTGGTATCAACAAACTCTTTTGATAGTAGAAATCATCAGAATATGGAAGTGAATTATTAACTAATATGCCCTCCTCCCCAAAAACCAATACCTAAACTCAAATCATGAAAGGAATGTCAAAATTCTGTCTTATCATAAAGCCCTCTTCTTATTCAAATAGAGCTATTTTCATTTCATATAAAGTATTAATATAGTAAGTAACTATCTTTCAGATGCTTATTTTGCATTTTTGTTTTCGCTCATTGTAATTTGTTTTTAGTGAAGAGTGGTATGTCAGCTACTCTGCTTGAGAAGATTGAAAGGGTATTTTAAATATTTGTGTCTTACAAAATAATCATTGTCTCCTATAAGTGAGGTATAGGAAAAAGGCACCTGCATATTTGAAAATGGTGGCTCTGTTATTAGCATCAACTCATTGCTTAATCATTGCACAGCGAATCAGTCACTTATTATAGCATATACTGACCTTGTGATCGTCATTAGGTTTGTTGTTTAATCACTTGTGAGTGACAGTGGAATAAGAATTGTAAAACAGCCCAAACTAGCACCTAACGGGTCTGTTTCTTGATTCTAACTTGTTTTTCTTAGGAAGTTACTAGTACTGTAAGACAAAGAATGCTGACTAGTATCAGATAAGCTCATAAGGGCAACAGATGGTAATGGGGAAGCTTGAAAATAAGTCACTACAGTTATAAGATTAATGCTGGGCTTATATAATGTATATTTTATAAGAGCCCTTTAATATATCCAATAAAGTATTATTTCACTTTTACCAAACCTCTTAAGTGTTGGTTAAAATATGGAAATCCCAAGCAAAAAAAAAACTTTTCTGCCCTTTTATTTTTGTCTATATACCCGTGCTTTCCTAGAATATTCCTATAGTCTCTAAAAGTTCTTTTCCTGTAGTTTATCTTTCAAACAGGATGCTTTTACATGACACTAACTATTGCTAATGAGTCTTTTTACATTTTTTAAAGGGTTTCTTCAAACTACTGCTGAGGAGTTTTGCTTTTACTATGCGAGGAGAGACGGTGGGCTATGCTTCCCAGATTTCCCGAGGAAACAAATCAGAGGACCGGCGTCTAACTACTTGGACCAGATGGAAGAATATGACAAAGTGGAAGAGATCAGCAGGTTCATACAGATAATTCCCTTGGATCTTTCCTTAAAAACTTGACAAATCTTGTGGTTTTGAAAGTGAATTGTCCGTCTTTGTTTGTGTCCAGCAGCTACATCCTTCTGGTGCTTTTTTTTTAGTAGTTTGCTTCTCTGCAATCATATTAGCTTAAATGCTTTTAATACTTAGACTACTAATCTCCTGTTCTGAGCTTGGCTTCTCCATGAATCATGTGAGTTTTATGAGTATAGTATTAACTTGAAATTTATGGTTGTTGTTACGTTACGGCACTGTGGAAATATTCAGGACAATGACTACTAGCAAATCAGAGTTTTATAAACAGATCTTAGAACTTTTTCTCTGAGTACCTCTCTGGCAGGTGTAATTATTGTGAGTAAAGCTCATTTTAATGATAGTCACTGAAAGATGTGATAATGAGCTTATGAAGTTTTAAAATACATACTTTTTGGTAATTTTTGAAGCTGGGTGATAGACATATGGATGGTAGTTCTTTTTTAAATTTTTTTAAAGACTTTATTTATTTATTTTTAGAGAGGGAAGGGAGGGAGAAAGAGAGAGAGAGAGAAACATGAATGCGCGGTTGCTGGGGGCCATGGCCTGCAACCCAGGCATGTTCCCTGACTGGGAATCGAACCTGCGACACCTTGGTTCGCAGCCCATGCTCAATCCACTGAGCTACGCCAGCCAGGGCTCTTTTTTTAATTTTTAAAATTTTTTCAATGACAGTTTACATTCAGTATTATTTTGTGTTCATTTCAGATGTACAGCATAGTGGTTAGACAGTCACATACTTTACAAAGTGTTCCCCCCGATGTTTTGATTTTCTCTTTTCCTTTCCAATAGGAGACAGGGGTTTTTTCCCCCCAGTTGAAAAGAATTATATTGGGCCTTTGGGTGAGCAGCCCTTCCGGATTGTCCAAACCACTGATTCCTAGAGGAAACGTATTTTGAAAAGGATGCTACGTGCATCCCTTCCCTCCCGCACCTGAAGCAAGGCTGAGTGGTTTCCTTTCTTTGTTTAGAAAGCACAAGCACAGCTGCTTCTGCCTCCAGGAGGTGGTGAGCGGGCTGCGCCAGCCCGTGGGCGCCCTGCACAGTGGGGACGGCTCGCAGCGGCTCTTCATCCTGGAGAAAGAAGGGTACGTGAAGATACTCACGCCCGAAGGAGACATTTTCAAGGAGCCTTATTTGGATATTCACAAACTTGTTCAAAGTGGAATAAAGGTTGGCTTTTTCAATTTTCTTTATCTTTGCTCTGGCTATGTTAATTTTTATTTTAGTGTTATCCTCGCTGAAGGTATTTCTTTATAATAAAAGAATGTTTAAGGAGAAAAGAAGGAGACAACATAAGGGAACAATAACTATGGCAACTGAGTCGGGACAGTGACGTTAAATTTGTCATGTTATTTGGTGACTATGAAGCAGTGCAACCAGATTGGTATTTTGACATGCTTTCCTGATGTAATTTTCACATTTAAAATAAGTCTTGGTTTTATGAAGTATTGGTTGAAATGTTGTTCAGTCAGCATGATACTTACAACTGCAGAATTGTGTATCAGCATTTGCTGGTAGAATCAAAGAGGCCTTGGCGTTATTTTGGCCTTTGCAATCACTCTTGACTCAGAAACATCTGTTTCTGAGCCTGTGTCATAAAAGATGCTACTTACATTGTGACTTCTTTATGCGATGTTTTTCCAGGTAAGTCAAATATTTTTACCTACAATAAGCCATCTTTATAACATACTAGCACATCTTTTGCCTTCTTTTTCACTTCTCCAATCTGAGCGCTCATGTTAAATAGTCTAGTAGGTATGTAAATAAAATTATCTAATTTGTTTCACAAGAGAGTAACATAGTATAATATTAGCAGTACTAAGCTGTAAAGCAAATTTTGGCATTCTAAAATTAAGGCAGGTAGAACAACTCATGACTATTTTAGAATGAAACAAGGTCATTGTATATTATTTGGGAAGAACCGATTATCCCTTTCATTTCTTAACTGGAAAAAAACCTGAAAGGAGGATTTATACTCTTCTACTTGTATAGAAATAACCTCCTCCTTGTTTTGTTGAACTCTACTCAAAGGTAAGCACATCAAAACCAGAACAAACAAGTTGGAAAAAATACACATATATTCCAGACACCTTTGTATTCGGTGCATACCATGTAAAATAATTAGAATGACTCAATTAGAATATAGGGAATGCCTTATGGTTGGGGCCACCCAGCCTCAAGTTCAGGTGGCGACAGACCACATGGGTCAGTGAAACATACTGCCTTGGAAGAGCACCTTGTACTTGCGGTCCTCGAAGAAAAAGGACTTTGGCACCAAGACACAGATCATTTGGAAAATCTGTTTAACTCCGTAGTTTCAACTTTCTTCCAATACAATTTTTCTTTAGTAGTGTTTTCTGTACATCATCAAAAGTCTCTCGAAACTTTTGTTTCAAGCACTAGTGTTCGGCACATGAGAGTTCAGTAACGATTCTGAGTGTGTTCTGATAGCTCACTGCCAGGGTGGCGGGTGAGCCAAGAACAGAGGAGCAGCTACAAGGCCATTACTCACTAGAGTGTAGCTTTCTTACTGTGGAGGCTAACTAGGCTCTCTAAAAAAGAAAAAAAATTGGGGAAAGTATTTCTAAAACCTATTGCCTATAATCGCATTAATTAAAGAATATCACTATTAACATCTTGATATACTTTCTTCCAGTTTTTATATAAAAAGTAAATGAATTTTTCCTGACCATAAAGGTAATATCGGTCCATATTAATAAATGCAGAAACACACAAAAGAATATGTTTTCAGGATCCTGGATATATGAATAGTTAGTGTGTGCATGGCAATATTCTTTATTTGTCCACATTTTGCATAAGTCATGCAAATAGGAATTTTCATAAATTATTATACATATCACTTCTTTGCTATCCTTTCTGTTTTAAAATCCCAAGAGAGGGAATAAAGCCATTTTAACAGAGAGCAGTACTGGTGCCAAAACTCAGATCACACAATTAATAATGTATCCTAAACCCAACCTTCATATGTTTGAAATGAATACAAGACGAACCACAGTGGGATCCTCCATGATATTAATTAATGACCAGCATGAGTAGATTAAATCAGACATAAAGCAGAATTCCTGATTATAAGAGTTCCTGGCTGGAAGGGAATCTGAAATTCCTTTTCTGCTAATTGTCAATTAAGAATTGATAGCGATTTCTGTCACATGAGAAAGGACTGACCTTTTTGCGGCAGGAACTAGCCTTGGTTGATCCCCTTAAACCTGTACGAGCCCTGATTCTTGGAGCCAGCAAAGAACCAGTCTTTCCCGGAACTCGGACAGCTCTTCCCAACATGGGCCCTAACTGAACGCTGTCTAGTTTGACACATCCAGGTGCTGCTGCCCAGATCTTGGGAGCTGTCAGTGCCCTGTGAGCATAACTGTCTGTAGTTTCATTGAGCAAAAGTTTTATGCAGAAATGCAAAGCACAAACTAAAGAGTCGACTTCTTTTTGCTATAGAAAATTAATTGTGGAGCTGGATGAATGGATTGAATTCTATGCTATATGAATTGAAACTGCTGTTCCATTTAGGAAAAGATGATCCCATCCCCAGTAGCCCTCCCAGTCTATGCCCAAATCCTAATACTGAAATGATCCCTGGGATCAAGTAGTTGGACACCATTTGTCACTTATCCTGTATCTTTAGGCATTCACTTGGCCTTCCACGTAGTACTTGTTCACTTTGATTGAGGAGGTGAGTTAACTCTGGCAGCATGTAGGATTCTTGATAGAAAGTTTTGAAACGTGGCATTTAAAAAGCTCAACAATTAATTCTAATTGGATCATTGCTTTGCCCATTAAATTTGTCCTGGTTTCATTCCTTTTCGGAATCTGGTATTCATCTAGTTGCCGAAACTGTTATCACTCCTGTTCCTTAAATATGTAGTCTACTAAAAATACCTGAAAGCCTCTCGTAAAAAAATGGCAAGGACACCAGAAGTTTCTCTAGTATAATTTCACCAAACGTTCCCCGGCCACCAAGCATCTGAAAGCCTGCCTTGGCTTTTCAGGTGCGCAGCAGTAAAACAAGCCTGCACCTGTCACCTGCACGGTGGCCCCTTTAGGAAACCAACAACCCCGATCTCTGCCACCAGCTCTCCTGAGCAGGCAGGGGAGGTGTGTCTCGCATGCACAGCTGCTTTGGCTTGCGGTGTGCAGCAGGCAATGCAGAGAGACTCGTCTGTCCTTGGGACGAGTGTCACTGGACCCCTGTCCCCTCTCTATCTACTTGGATCCTCACTTCAAGAGATGCTTTTTGAAGTGGTCCTTTTACCGGGGTAGGGGTGGGGGGAGGATGTAAGGCTGAAAGCTGCTGATTGTCCGGGTGACTGAGCCCATTGAGGTGAGGCTCTTGAGAGACAGCAGCAGGGGTGCCCGGGAGCCTCAGGAGCATATGGGGAGGACGCCGGGTGCGTCCGGGCAAGCCCTGCCGGGTGGCCTCTGATTTCACGTGCTTGTACATCACACGCAGAGTCGTGACCCTCAAAAGTGGAGTGAAATCCAAGGGCTCCAAGGCCTGCTTTTCTGAACTTTGTCAGACACCTACCTAACCTCTCACATTGTCCTCTGCCTTTAACTTGTGATCTTATGACATAGCCCAGGAGATGTTAGTGCATTTTTGTTAAAGTGCTATGAATCGGAGCATAAGTTAGAAGCAATTTACGATTCAGAATTAGTATGGAAAACATAGCACGCTCACGGGTACATGTGGCAATGGCTGGGCCATGTGGCAAATGCTTCCTCAGGAAAACTATTAGAAGCCCACTTTTAATTGCGCTTTCAGTTGGAAGAAAGCATGGGCTCATTGACAGAAAACAACAAAATATATGTGGTAAATATTACGATGGAAGGATCACCATTTTGGAATGTTAAAAAAGTTTTTGATCTAGCAAATGACTGCATTTGAAGTTGTTAAACCTCATCTTAAAAAGAGAATTGCTGTATTGTTGCAAATAACCATTAGGTAAGTGCATTCGAAAAGTGGCCTGCCACTTTAAATTGCATAGTCTCCCCTAAAATTAAAATTGTTCAATGTCTTCCTTTTTTTGTAGTTTAAAACTCTAATTCCAAATGATTTAAATTAAAATGTAGACAAAATGTAGCTCTACAAGTAAAAATTTTTAATACACTTAATTTTTATATCAAAGTAGTAATGATACAGTATTAAACCCAACTATATTTTATTATTGAATGTTGCTGGCCCTTTACATCAGAATACCCTGTACTCTGTGAAAAATGTTTCCAACTTGAAATCAATTTTCATTGTAAGTCTACTGTGAGTGTCCACAGAGAAAAGCAAGCAATCCCTTAGGGAGGTGAAATCATCTCAGTGTAATTTCCTATTTCGTTGTGTTAGTTTTCACGTGCGGTGTTCGCACGTCTTCATTTTGGCATTGGCAATTCTGTTGGTAAGATGGTTTCGTCACTACGAACGTGCACGTAGGCCTCTTGGGCCAGGGTCGCCGGTGCACCCTGCACATCCCTTTCCAGCCTGCGGCCTTTCTCGCGGAAGTGGTGTGCGCAGCGCCTCCAGGTGGGGGGAGAGGGGCCTGCCTGCTCCCGCCTGCCTCCTGTAGAGGCACGGCAGAGGGGAGGAGGGTGTGCGTGTGACTGTCTGTGCATTTACCTAAGGTTTGCTGTGCAGAGGAAACAGACTCTATAAACCTGACAAGTCCGATGGTAATCATTTAAAACGAGTGAGAAACCAAGACACACCTGGGCCCAGAGAAGGTCTCTGCCACCTTTAAAAAACCACCTGCCTGAGCGTGGCAGCCACCATCTCATGGCCTGGCCAGCAAGAGAGAGAGAGACCTGCTGGGGATGGTCGTTGTTATCGCTGTTTCGTCTGATGAGAAGGAAATGCGGGTGACACAGAACTCTCTCTCAACTGGAGGAGGTAGCACAGCCCTCCCTGTCAGAGACACTCAATAGCTTTTCTTTCCCAATGCTCCAGTCTCCAAGCAAGCCGTCTTGCTAGAGCGGGCACGCTGCCCTTTCTTACTAGACACAACTGCCATTTTTTAAGCACCTACTGTGCAGATTATTTCCATAATCCACGGGATTATTTCCGAAATCCCTACCGTAACCCTGGGAGGCAGGGATTGCCAGCCCATGTCACAGATGAGGAGACCGAGGCCCAGAAGTTAAATAAACTGCCTGCGATA